TAGTTAAATCATTTGTAAGAGAAATAAAGTGAAAGCGATAATATGAGATGCTTATATTGCACTATTTGAAGAAATAATAAAAGATAAGGTGTCAAAGGATTCAAAAATCAAAGTTGTAATATTTAAATCTACTATTGTGAAAGAATTTCAAGATAATTGTATTACCATATATTTAAATTATTTTATTTAAATAAATTATATATATGATTTATATTTAATTATAAAAATATGAATGTATGTATTATAGATAATATTTCTATTTTCAGATTAAAATTAATAAAAAATTATGTCAATATTGATAAATCAGAGGTTACTCATTTTATAGATTCATTCACCTAATGAAATAATTTAAAAATTTTCTATTACAGTAACTATTCATAATTCTTTACTTTTTCTCTTAACCAAATTTTCAATTATTCATTATCATTTTATTGTAGGGATTTTAATTATGTACATATTCCTGACAATGTTGATAATACAAGATCTGTGGTTCTTCTTAAGTTAGAAAAATTTAAAAACATATATGAAATTTTGTCTATGGCAAAATCAAGCAGTGATATAGTAAATATTATATCTCTTATACTTTGTTCTTTTTATTTTATTTTAAATTAATTCTTAATTAATTTTTAGAATGACGTAATTTATTGTATTTCAAATGTGAACAATAGATTACTTAAAAATGGTTGGTATATTTCTTGCCCCTATTGCAAGTAAAAAGTTTCTTTTGCAGCTAAAAATTTTAAATGTGAATCATGTTATAAAAATGTTGAATACCTATTGACAAGGTAATTAATTTATCGATATAGTTATAACGCTATGGATTATAATTTTTTAATTTAGTATTAAAATAAATTAAATTATATATTATTAACTTAATTTATATACATATTATGTTTTGAGCTTGATGTTAAATATTCTACTGATTCAATTATATTTCTCTTATTAGATAAAGTTGTTGAACAATTAGCACAAGTAAAGTTAAAAGATCTCATTGCAATATTTGAAATTATAAGTAAATGTTTTAAGATCTGACTTACTAGAAAATTTAATCAATTGATTGATTATATAAATAAAATATATTAAAATAAATAACTATTTTTGTATGATAATTTTCTTTAGATGATGGTGAAGGATTGAAGTTGCCTCCACAACTTTTATATATTATAAACGTTCTACATATTTTTTAAATAAAAATAAGTATTTATTTTGAAAGTCGTGCAAAACAAAGTTTTACAGTAAATAAATTTTGAAACAGACAGTAAAGATAATATAAAAGATTAAATTAGAGTTTTATTGTTTTCATTTATAATGTTTACAATAATAGGATGATGAATAAATTTATTTTTATTATTTAATATTTACAAATTGAGAAGAAAGAAAGTTTAAACAATATGTATATGAAAATAAAAGAAGATGACTTAACAATAAGTTCTTCATCTATATCTTCAACTATAAGAACACCAAATTTACCAAAAAGAAAGAGAAAATTGATGTATAATTTATAAATTTATAATGTATTGTTGAGATTTTTTAGATCATACAATAATTTATATTTGATATTTTATTTTAGGTTGCAACTCGATAAAGATGAAACAAACAATGCTGAACAAAAGGCAACAATGAAAGATTTAGATGATTGAACAATTTTATTGCATTATTGTATAAATACTTTTAAAATTTTGTAAAATTTGAAAAGTAGAATGTCACTAAACAGACATTTCTATCTTTTATAAAATAATTTTGTTATCTTATTATATATATCCTCTTACTTTATTATTATATTGATTATGTATTGACTTTGTTTTTATTATAACATTTGTCTATATTTTAAATTATATCAATATGTGTAATTTTAAATTATACAAAGATTAATTTTTGTATTCAATAAAATTATTCTTCTCTTTTAGTTTCTATTCAAATCTTAATTAAAATTTTTAAATACTCTTTTTTCTTCTTCTTCTCACATTTTAATTTTTTTAAAAATAATTTAATAAGAATTAAGATATAATAATTATGTATAACTTAGTAAAATAGACAATGTTTTATTTATATTTATGTTATAATTATCATGACAAATTTAAAATTAAAAAATTTATAGTATTTATATTTAATAATTTTGTTACAATATTTTTTTTTGTTATAAAATGTTATAATGATGATGATAAATTTAAAATTCTCAAATTAAAATTAAATAATTATAATAATTAAAATAAGTTAAATATTATTAAATATCATAACAATTAAAATAGTTATCCATCATAAGATGAATATGATTTGAAATTTAAATCTTTACGTTGCTATTGATTTGCATATTTAATAATTTTATATCATAATAAATAAATAAGTACAAAAAATATAATGTTTTAACTATGAATTAAATTTGACTATTATATTTAATTTATATATTATATTATTTGTTTGAAAAGTTATTTAAAGTTTTTTTATCTTTTTAATCTTTTCTTCACATTTAAATATATCTTTTTATATTTTTTAAAATTTATGAATATCAAGTTTAAATTTTTACAACTGCAAAGGACTTACAATTATAAAAATACAAAGGTTAGTGTTTAAAATGTTATAAAAATATTCACTATATTAATTATCAAATTATATTTATTTATTAGCATTTCATATTCTAATTATATGATTATTCAAAATTTTTAAATTGAAAAAGAAGTTCCAATGCTTCTTAACAAAAATCAAGAGTCAAGGACAATCATTAAAATATGTTAAATTATATTTATCAAAACCTGTAGTTAGTAATAGTCACTTATATGTTGTATTATCTAGAGTGATATTAATAAAAGAAATAAAAATTCTTATTATTAAAGATAATGACAAATATATAAAATATACAAAAAATATTGTGTATAAAAAAATATTTTATAATCTTCTTTAGTATAATTATATTTAATATAATATATTTTTTTACTATATATTATATTTAAATTATATATATATATTTTAAAATAATTTTATTTTATACAAATAAAACAAACTTGTGCAGCGCACAAACATATTTATTAATGTATTAGTAAAGTGATAGTTAACTAATAATCTTTATAATTAATATATTCAATAATTTCCTAATTGAATAATTAATATTAAAAATAAATGATTCAATATTCTTTCACTTGAAGTCCATTATGAAAATTATTATGAGTAAATATCAATTGCGGCTAAAGCACTAATAGTCTAAGAATTTAAATGCTTTCACATTGTAAAAATGGTATCTGATAGGGATAAAAAATATGCTAATGGCTTCACGTGTCTTGAAAGAAATATATATTTAGATAATACAAATATGTAATTTAAAAAAAATTCAAACATGGCATAAGAGATATAATAATAAAAGTAGCATTATCTCATAACAGTAAGTAGAGTATTATTTTAATATTTCACTATTGCATTATATCATTATAGTAAATAGACTATATTATTTGAATATTTCACTTACTTGAATATTAAAAGATTCAACTAATTTTGACGAGTCATGTGATTAAAATACAAATTTAATATAAGCCTTTGGCCAGTTAGTAGTATTATCACACAACAAATGGCTTAAGTGCTTTAATACAGGTCTTGGGTCAGTTAGTAGTATTGTCACAAACAAATGGCTTAACAGAAGTTCACATGACTTCACAAGAGTTATTAAAATTGGGTCAAATAAATGAATATTCTACTTTTTGACATTTAATTAATCTAAGTTTTGCAAACACTTTGATTATACGGGAGAAAAATAGGGAAAAAAGAAATAAAATAGATAGAAATAGGAAAGAAATACTAATGTTGGGATACAAAGAAATAAAAAATGAAATAGAGAGAGAATTTTCACTTATTTAATTTAGTTAAATAGTAAAAAATAATAATAGTTTGACATTTTTGAAAAAAAAAAAAACGCCTAAACTAGTTGTTTGGGCTTGCAAGTAGTAATTCTACTTTCGCAAAGAGAAAATGGGTCGCAAAAAGGTATAGATATATTGGGGCTTAAGGGACTATTTCTGTGAACATTGCAAGTGATCCGAAATGGACCAGTAGCATATTGCACAAATTTTATTTTATAATTCAAATAAATTTTTTGAACCAGTTTTATGAATTCAAATAGATCTCTAAAGTGAATATAAATTTTCCTAACAAAATGTTTCTTAAAAACATAGTTAATATATTTTTAAAAAAAATTATTTACTAAATATGTTAAATTTTATTCATCAAACCAGTACAATTTCTCAACAACGTAAGAATAATTTTTTTATGAATCCCGTGACAATAAAATTCTGTCCCTCTTATAATTCTAATTAATTCAAACGGTGAAAGTACTTAATTTTTTTTCCTGATCCTAAATTTTGTCCTAATTCACTCTTCTAACAAAGTTTCACTCTAATTTAATCATTCTAAACCAAGTATAAATAATGGCACAGCTCATGCAGATTAAAAAACTTATATTTAATGATTTTCTTTCTAAAATTAATTTTTTATTTTTAAAAATAAAATATAGTACAACAAAACAATGGCAGTAATGATGAATTTTTATCTTTTTTTAGAATATTGATATCTAAAGATTACACGAAGTATTAAACGAATATCGGAAGAATATGGTTCCAATCGGATGAAATTATTTATGAACGACGAATCTCTTCTTCTGAATATTTACAACAATGATTGTACTTCTCAAACTAAAATTGCTGATTAATGTGGTGCATAGTAATTAGTGAAGTAATTATAAACTATTAAAAAGCGAAAAGAAAAAGGAAAAAAGAAAAAAAAGGAAAAGCAGGATCCGAAATAAACTAAAGCAGTGCCACCTCAAGTTGTCCAGCACAGTGGTTGAAACCGCACCTCTTCCCCTCAACGGTATCGTATAATTCTCCTCTCCCTCTTCATTTGGTTCAATTTGTTTTGTATTTTGCTTTTAGCGTTGGAGAATAATAGTTCTCTTGGATTTCAAGCATTTTAGAAGTGGACGATGTCAACACACTTGTGCAATGATTTTTCCATTTCGTGACTTCTAGATTGGAATTAGGACAGTTCTGATTTGGCACCCATTCGTGATTTGACTTTTGCAAAATAAAATTTTCAATGTAAAAGATTGGGCTAATAGTTAGGTTTCCAGACTCCGCTATTTGTTATGTTAATTTATTGCGGATGAAACATTGTGGAGAGGATAATTTCTGATACAGTTGAAATTTGAATGGCATAGTTCCTTTTTGCTTGTTTCTATAGGAAATAATATACTAAGGAGGTTCATTATCAGATGGTGAAATGCCTTTGCTTAGATGATTGATGTTCCTTTTTTGATATTTTTGCTTGTTTCTATAGGAAATAATATACTAAGGAGGTTCATTATCAGATGGTGAAATGCCTTGGCTTAGATGATTGATGTTCCTTTTTTGATATTTGTGTATTTGGATGAATAGTTGGGTAGATGTTTGCCAACTTAATGCATGTTCTGTTATGATTCTATGTGCATGAGATGGGAGCACCTATGTGAGCATGTGTGTTTATTATAGACTTGGATTTCTTACAGGAGGAAACTACTTATGCAGGTGAATATTTGATTTGGCAATCGTATACATATTAGTCAGGTTTAGGAATACGAAGAAACTTCCATGGCCAAGAAACCTGGACCAAGACCCAGTAAATTATCTGTGTACCTTTACATTCCTAATATAATTGGTGGGTATTTAGTTATACCAGTGGATATTTTCATTTTATTCTCTGATGTATACTTACATGTTCTAGAAAACAATGGTGTTCTAATACTTTTTGTGTTGATAAGAATAATGGGTTACAACCCCGTTATAGGACAGATGAGCAGAGTGATACAGAAAATTTAATGTGTTCATCTTTCTTATTGGCACATTTGTTTTTTGGAAAATGCGAGGCTCTGGTATTGTTTATTTGAATACACCATGTGTTTGCAACTATTGTTCCAAACAAAACGATTTTATTGTTGTAACGACTAACTAGTGTAAACTGTTTATTATTGGATTGTTCAAGAGATTTTATGCAAGTTCTGATAGTTCTCCATGAAAACACTGTCATGACTCCTGACTGTGTCCATGGTGATGCAGGCTACATGCGGGTTCTTTTGAACTGTGTTGCCTTCTCCCAATGTTTAACAAACAAAATGATTTTCCCTATTCTCTATTTTTTAAGGTGGGATACAATTTTATGGATTTCTCTTGGTATTGACCTTTTTTCTCATTATTTGTGGGATGGGAGCATAATTTGGGGGAATTTATGTTGCCAGCTTTGTTTGTGATGCTGTGGATGGCTGGTGTGCTCGCAAATTCAATCAAGGTATCAACTTTCTTATAGATGTCTAATCAATATCCGTTTATTTGTCAAGGTTTTCCTATTGAATACATAAATAATGTTGATGATGCTCAAATAATTAAATCCTTCTATTTTCACAAAATTTATTTTATCTATGTCAACAGTGGACGCCATTGCATTCACATGCATCACAATAACATTCTTGGGTACAAGTTTATCAATTAATTAATGGATAACTACATGTTGTCTCCTAGTGGTTTAGAGCATTCTGAATAGTTAATTTTTACCCTAAGCTGCCTTCTGTTTTGCAACAACAGGTAAAACTTTGTTTTTGCTATCTCTTTTACTGATTATGGAGTGCTGCAAAACCTTCTGGAGCTTTAACTCTCAAAAATCTGTTTGAAACTAAGGGAAAATCAGTATGTCAGAAGTATAATTTGCTTAGATATTTCTGTGAAACTCATTTACAGCTTGATTTTGGCCATAAATACTCTTTTCTTGTGCCAATTGTCAAGGTTAAGGATAATTTGTTTTTGCTCCATTTATTGCATTCTGTTGACTCTTTGACTTTTAGATTTTTCAATAAAACACTGGGTAGGCTGTAAACAAACATTAAATGAGAAAAAGAGGGGTAATATGGCTCATATACTGATGGTTAATGAGGGTTTGATTAACTGGTATGATCAACATTCAACACCATCTACAAAATGGTTTTGGGTTCAAATCCTGCTGGTGGTCTTTCATTGGTATGACGTGTGGAAGTACCACTATAAGTCAGGCTTGTAGCTTGCCCTAAATGTCGAATTGGGAAAACTCCTCTTCTCCCTAAACTTTTTATTTTTATTTTGAAAAATAATTATTACATATTATTAACAAATAATTAATCTAGAAAATATTTTTTTTGTATTGTTGTTTTCTTGATTCAGTGTCAACCTTTGGAGCTGTGCTGGACATGGTAACAGACAGGTTATTGTCTGTTCTCTCTCTTTGTGCAAGTTAGCCAAGTGATACTTGATGCTTCTATTACTTATTTATATTGGTTGATTCTTGTGTGCTTTGAATTCATGTGGCTTCCTTAATACCAGAATTAGCACTGCTTGCCTACTTGTAGTTCTTTCCCAAGTGTACAAGTAAGATATTTCTCCTTTCAAGCTGTTTGTAAGTCTATGTAATTTTAAGCATGTACACCTGACTTTTGGGTTGAATTCGTGTAAAGGCCTGGCCTGATCTTCTTGTCATTGCTCGCCTTAGATATTGCCAGCCACTGGCTGCAAATGTACAGGTAATGCATGTCAACTTTGTGTTTTTTCCCCTAACTCTAATTGTATGATTCTGCAGTTACTGGGTTTGGTCTTGATGGAGAATTCTTGCATTTTTTGCATTAAATGCAGCACTTTCCTGCTGGGCAAGGCTAGTCATAAAGATGTTAAAGACAGCAGCAGTTGGCTTTTCAGGTTATACTATGGAAATAGGATGTTTATGGCATATTGTTGTGTCTCATGTGAGGTAATTGCAATACCTTATTCTCAATCTTTTGTGAAAACATTTTAATAAGTATTTTTTTTTCTAATTTTGGATTCTTATCCTTTATATTCTATAGGTTCTTTACTTAATCCTGTTTTATCTTTCGGAGAAAGAAACAGAGAAATTGGTGGATGTAAGTTCTCTCCGCAATGTTTCTACTGCTGTTAGATTATCTAAGATGTTTGGAGTGTTTCCTGAAATCATCCTAGTTTCTCAATTTTTTCTATTTTCAGGTTTTATCGATTAATTTGCAAAAGATATCATTGCTTTCTTTCCTGATCGGTACTAGTTTGTTTGGATGGGCAGTCAAGCAGGTTGTAAATATTATTCAGGTTCGTTCATAATATATTTATGCTGGATAATTTTGAGATCAGGTGATATATATATTTAGTCTTTGACCACTCTTACTCCCACTCCATAATGAAAAGAAGGGGAAAAAAAAAGAAAAGCAACACATCAGAGAAGAAAAGAAAATCCATAGAAAATAGGGAGGCACGAATTGTTCATATTTTTTATTTTGGAATATTCTTCCTGTAAGTATCACAATAATAGAAAATTTAGAATCTTCAAATCCTGTGCATTCTAAGTTTCTTTCTGGTTTAATTATCATGTGTAAACATTTTTTTCAAAATAAAAAAGCTCATGCAAACTAGTTTTGATATCTGTAGGTCAGCACAAAACTTCATACACTTTATTGAGTACAGTACTAAAATGTATTCTACTGCAGATGGTGACATTAATTCAATTTGCAGAAACGTTCAAAGTTACGTCTAGGATTATTGATTAGACAGTTCAAATGTGAATTAAGTTCAGCACATTGAGTAACTATCAGTTTATGTGGTGCCTCAGTGTCAGTGCACCGTTGCTTGAGTTTAAAAATTTGAATGTTGTATTAACTCTTTATCATGGCTCGTTAAATTCATATTATGACTTGATAATTAAAAAGAGTTTTCTTTACATTCTAGTTATATAAAGAGCGTCTTGTAATAAGAATTGATTGACTTATCATTATTATTTACTTTGCTTCGACTAGTATGTGTTTATCTGTTGCTTTTGATTATTATTTAGTTCATTGATTTGAATCCCTTAACCTTTGTGATTTCAGATGAAGACAGCGGCAGATGTGTGTGTGCTTTATGACATCGACCGAAAACATAAGCAGTGATGTTTTTTGCACGACCGGAATCCCTTGCCTTTGTCTCCTAGTAACATATTTTGCACTTAGATTAATATTAGTATTGATGGCAATTGATCTTGAATTGTTCAGTTTTCTATTATTTGTAATGAAAGAAATAGAACGACACCGAATGAAAGAATATAGATTTCCATGTAGCAAAAAAATTTTGTTCACGAGTTTCAGTATTCTTTTGTTTACCCACTGTTAATCAGGCTAAAAAATTCTTTTGTTCCTTATTCCTGTTATGAATATACTGATTTTTTTGTTACTTCTCTGCTGTGGGATAAGGTGACGTCTTTGTAAGTACTGTTGATTTTTCTCTATATGATGTAGGAGGAGTATACCTGCAAAAGGTACTCTGATAATAAAGTCAAATGTCGGTTTAGACAATAAATGCTATTAAATATTTGAAAGTTAACATTTTATCTATATCTCTTACTTTTCTTTTATAAGCAATGTTATGAGCTAATGAATTTTGTGAACCAGCCTTAATTGTGGCCTTTTAATTAAGTAAATAATGATTTGATTATTTATCTTAATTAGTTTAATTATCTTTTAATTCATTCTTAATCTGACGGAGAGGATACTCGTCCTATTGATGCCGAAGGGGTATTGAGATTCTTTCTTTTATCATTGAGATCGAATGGTGTCTTATTCAGTACATTCATAACTCCGAATCTTTTAAAGTCTATAATTTTTGCTAGGATTGCACTGGTTTTGAAGTTGTCTTTCTCCCTCTTGCAGCAGGGAATATAACCTGAATAAACGCCTTTATCACACACACTGAATGTTATTGCAACTTCTACTACCGTGTGACGCAGATTGCAATATCGAAACATTGACACTATGATTCATCAATTTCAACGATAATTATATTAAAAGTTAAAACTATCCAAACCCTCTACTACGTATCATTTTCTCGTGATTTTTCTTTCTGCTAGTGCACTGTAGTTATTATTTTACTAAGCGATGGCTTCTTGTATCTGGTCCTGCAAAGCACTGATTACCGTGCCTGACTTATAATCTATAATATATTGAACCTTTTCAGAATTAATTCGTGTTGATGTCTCCTTTAATTTTTTTCCTGCCATTATTAATCTCATTTTAGTTTGGTTTATTAATATTGGGAATCTTTCTCGTGCTGAGCACAGGGCTTACTACTCTTGTTTTATTTATAATTCTACAAGATTGTTCTACTATTTTGCGCATGCATTGGCTGTATGAATAGAAACATTGTCGTAAGTTCTAATATCACTTCTGCTAGTTTCGTATAATCTGCCATTAATGTCTTTGAGAATCTTTTTCGCAGAATCAATGGAATGATAGGTTAGTTGGTTGTGCAAAAGCTATTTTGGATATTACCTAAGGAAAATAATAAAAACAAAAAAAATTAACCATGTATATGATTGATAGGACAAATTTTCTTGTGTTGTAGCAACATACTGTTTCATCAGGTACACCTACTATAAATGTATTCGGGCTTCCAGCTCGAGCTTTACAGGATAATTCCTCGAAGGGTGATATGGTGCAATTATGTTACTCCTTTTGAAAAGTAATGAGTAGTTTTTTATCCTGTTTATATAACACTCTTTACCAAGCACTCCCATATATTATTGATTCAGTACCATGGTACATTAGTAAAACTCTCTGAGAATTCCAAGGCATACTACATATGCATGAACAGAATTTAGGTAAAATCAATCGAAATCTTCAAATTAAATAGCTACGTAGTTCTGGGCTGCATAATATTTGAACCTAGCAGAGTTATATACACTCAGAAGCGTAGTGAAATGATAGACAATCCACATTGCATGAATAGTGACCTTGTTTCAAACAATTAAATTTCTCTCTAAATAACGTCCCTACTTTTCCTTGACACGGAAACGATGTTCACCAAAAAGCTTCCTGGCTGATTAACGTGAACTAATACAGGCTAAACCCAAAAAACTGGCTAATGAGGATGGCAAATCCGAGGGCTATTGCGACAAGAGAAGATGCCCAAGTGAGTTTCTCAGTTATTCTTGGTACTCTATCTTTTAGTGCCTGGCTACATGAACCTATAAATACCGTATAGCATCCCATTGCAACAACAGTTCCAAGTAAGAACATGATGAGAAATGCAGCACCGGCTATGCGAGAAGGTAAAGCAAGGGCAGGCAACACCATCATCAATGCATCCGGTTGCAGTCCATGAACTATTCCAGTGGCAAAAGTAGCAAAACCAATCTTCTTCTTTCCTACTATAGGATTATCATGTGATTCATAGACACTGACATCACACTCACCATTTTCTAAGGCAACACATGGGGTTGGAACTTCTGAAGCTTCTTTAATTCCCATAGCACCAATTACTAGGAGGGTAAGGCCAACCACTCTGGTACCCCAAGTCCGGATAACTTCAATGTGAAGTCGATCTTTGAGGAGCAAAAATAGTAAGCCAAAGATAACTTGACCAGCATCATGACCACAACCCCAAAGGGCTCCCACAGCAGCACTCTCCATTCGGGTTCGGCCAATTGACAATGGTGCCAAAGCAGCAAGATGGTCAGGCCCTGATAGTGTGTGCAAGCAACCGGCAAAGAAACCAGTCCAAGCACTATTTAGTAGCTCGGTGCGGATTAGTTTTCCACCAACCGCAGCAGCTGCAGGGCCACCACTCTTGGCAGCGTTTTGAAAGGTTGCAAAAGCTGCTGGTGCAAAAGCTGGTTGAATTAAGAGCAAAACAAGAGCGGAAAGAATTGCAAATGTCCTAGCTGTTATTGCCTGAGAAAAAAACATACTAAAGGATGATTCTTTTATAACATCTATGAGGCAATTATTGCGTGCATTGAGTTCATATAATATAATCCCTAGTAAGTTTCAGCCAAAAAATAAACTTGTTACAAAAAATTATCATGAATATTAATAGTAACAAACCACTGTGTCGCCTATTTCAACAGTATAACCTTTTAGGGAAACTTTCTATATATATCCGAGTTTCAATTCTTATACATGATTCAACAAGTATGTTAATGATCGTGAATTACAGGCAAAATCACGTGATTAAAAAGCTCAGTTTGGTTATGATTCAATATCGGCAACAAGCCAACAACAAACCATATTGCCAAAACAGTATCAGTAACACAACTGCTATATATGTAGTACAAAAGAAACATGACACCTTACGTTTCAAAAGAAGATTCTTCACTCTTCAGTATGAATTTGCAGAAAAATTCCGTTCAGATAATAAACAGAATTATGCATACATAAGATAAGGACTTGTCATATAAGATCCCAACGTCCAAGCATTGTAGAAAACAAGAGAGTAATAGAATGAACCATTTTCTAAGGATTTGATACTCAGGATAATGCTAATAAGGATTCCCTATAGACCAATGACAAGGTTATATATGCTTTTGATTCAAATCACCACAGGGATATTCTTGAAGATACTGTTGGTGATATAGAACATCATTGACATCAAAGCGACCATGATATTTGATAACAGAAAGCACATACCTTTGGTTTTTTGAAATCCCCAGAAGTGATCTGATTGAGAGGTTGGGATTGAGATACGGAGCCATCGGAATGGATGAGATGAGAAGAGTAAAGGGATGGCAAGTTATTACTGGTTGGTGTAGATGTGGCGAAAAGGGGAGCAGAAGAGGGTAATGGAGATGGGTTTTCATATTTGGAAGATATTGAGGTGACCCACCTGAATGAACAACGCGTTGAGGCGAAAAAATTCAATCTTGCAGAATCAAATCGAGTGGTTGGAAGAAAAACAGTAAAGGGCTTGAGATTGGTGTTAAGAGGAGACGAAGATAGAAGCCTATCCATGGCTTCTATCCGCAAGAGGGGAAGAAATGAAGCCGAGGAGAAGAAAGAGTTAGATTGGATAAAGTCTGTGCAGAGAGAGAAAGAGAGATAAACAAGAAGAACATACGGATTAACTTGGTGAAATGAAATCAAATCGAATAATTAATAACATCATCACATCGTTATTTGCATATTCTATATAAAAATTTCTTTCATTATTAAAAAATAAAAATTATAGATTTTTAATGTTATTAAATAAAACGTTTTAAAAAATTCGAAGAATTGTCATAACTAAAATTTTATTGTATTTATATGAACAAATTTCATCTATTTAATAAAAAAATTATATTAAATTTATTCTTAGATTATTTAAATTTAGAAACACCTCTTTTTACCTGAAAAAAATATTTTCATTAATACCTTAAATTGAAAAAATAAAAAAAATAAAACATAAAAAAATGTTTTGTCATATTTTTTTTATTTTCAATTAATTTAAACATATATTACTTTTTTGAATAATAAATTTATCATATTATTTTATTATTTAATTTTTTTAATTATTACTATTTCTATTTATACATTTTTTAGTGTTTATTATTGAATTATATCATAAGATCATTGTATAATAACAAAGAATATCTCATTAATTAATGATACATACATATATAAGTTAAATTATTTTAATAATCTATAATGTGATCTATCTAATTTATATCATGACTCTAATTAAATATTAATATGATAGTTGTTAAATATAAACTATTTTTTCACTTTTTCTTTAAATAAATAAAAGAGTCTTACCAAAATAAAAGTGACGGTCTCTCCCTTTTTTTCACAGTAATCAGCAAAGGGCATTTTCTCTCAATCATCAAAATGGAGGTAAATGAGAAAGAAATTCTGTCTAATTTTGTCTAATTTTTTTGCTGCAGCGAGAGGAGAGCTTGCTGCAGTGAGAATATCGCGAGTTAAGGGGTATTTTAGGACATTCAACCTAAGGAACTTGGATTACAATCCAAAATCCCGATCTCTCTTATTCTTTCTGACCTCTCACTCTCTCTTCTCAGAAATTATCTTCTAAACTTCAATATTCCCTCAAATCCGGACTTGGGAGCTCAACCATTCAAATCCAAGTAAGTTTCTTGGAGCTTTGTTCTCCAACTTCATTCTTATTTTAATTCTATTTGGTCTAAAGTGTATGTTTTGCAATACTCAAGGGAACTTTCACCCTCAAGCCGATATTCTCTACCAGGACATTATGCCTCTTCCTTGGATCTCTAGAAAAACTTGATCTAAGAGACTCATTTTTAGGTAAGGGGAGTTGATCCCAAACCCTAATTCCTTCTTGGTATTTTAGTTCAAAAATGCTAAGTTTCTATTGGGACCTTAAAATTCTAAGGTTTTCTTAAAAGTCTAATGTGTAGGGTAGAGTTTGACACAACAACCCTCTTTTTAACCCTAACCTCGGTATTTTGTTTTGAGTAATAGAATCCCAACGATTCTCTAAATTGTATAACTAGAAATGAAATTTTGGATATGAGAAACCAATAATTTAATCCAAAGATCATTAGATAAAATTTTATAGTGAAAAGATTAGTAACTAAACTTTTGAGGAATTTTTTTAGATTTTACTATTATTTATGTATGAATAAGTAATATTGAACTTTAAGATAGATGATCTTATTAATGTTAAGAAAATGTGTATGTTGAATTGTACGATTGGCTGAGTCCGGAGGTGTTCGATCTCCGACACATTGTATTGATCTATGTAGTGTGAAGATCTTTTGTGTTAGATGAATATGATACTATAAATATGAATGCTTGTTGATGACATGATGATGGAATTGTGAGAAATGTGATTGTAATATGTGACATAGAATAGATTGTTGGATGTGATTATGATACAGGTATTGTGGTGCATCAAAAGGTGTACTCATAATATATGTATTGCAATACATTAAGTTATATGATTAAGACTCACGTATTATGACACATTGATCTATGAGAAAGATATGAAAAAGGATAAGAATAGTTGAGAAATGCTGATAATAAGTATAGATAGCTACAGAGATATACTAGGGGTATAGAGTCTAGAGAAGATTTAGGAAATCTTAGGGAAATGAGGGTGGTGAATGCTAAGTATAAATGGGTGCACAATGATTTGCTGAAAGTGAAAGCATTCATAGGTCACACACTCATTTTCTGACGAGACTCCTTACTATACCTTTACTAAAAGGGGCTGGGTCGACACACGTGTATCCGTGTTGTTGCGGTTAACCAGTAGCTATCTATACTATGAAGTCCTCAAGAGATCTCAGGGGCAGTGAATATAAGTGTAATGAATATGAAATTGTGATGAACATGAAGTAGTTTAGAGATTGTATGATTATAATATATGCATTGTAACATATTTATTAATATTGTTACGATATATGTGTTGTAATACATCGATGTGTGCGATTAGGATACACGTATTGTGACATATTGATGGATGTGATAGAATACAAGTATTATGACATATAAATTAGTGTAGAAAATATATGTCATAAATAATTACAAAGATGATTGATATGTTGAACATGTGCTCTCCTCTGATGATGATTTATGTGTTTTGAGTGTTATTGTGGGTGTTAGAAATGTATTAACCAATACTTTCTATAATATATAAATTTTATGTTGAGCAAAGAGATTTAGTAAGGTGAGAGATACTCTTCCTTACTAATATTTTCATGTAATGAAAGTGACGAGATAAAGATGATTGGTCCGTTCTAGGGTCATAATCCAGTGATATTGGAAGAAAGACTACTCTGTAAAGACTAGAACAGTTTTTAAGACATTATAATATTTTATCCTAATTATATTTCATGTTGACTAAGTTTTGTAAATATTTCTTTAATGTCAAATTTTAGAATTTATAATGTTTCGGTGAATTTTGTTGTAATAAATACTTTTGGAGATGTTCTTAATGATATTCTAAACTTATATGTATACCACGTGATCCAAATAATGTATTAGATGTAAATTTAAGTTTTATTTATGACTTTAAACTCTTGAATTTATTCGTTTGATGTTTTAAATACTTTAGTATCTTATAAAATTTTTATAAAAGGAATGTGAGTTTTGTTTTTATTCAATCCTTAAATTTATAAAATAGAATAAAATTCTTCTTTTTTTTTGGTTATAAATTTATTTCTTTTAAATTCTTCTTTAGTATTTTTTTGTTATACATTTTCTTGTTAGCTGGAGATGCAATTTTATGGAAGAGCACAAAGGAGTCAATTATTGCTACATTTACCATGGAGGCAAAATTTGTGGCATGCTTGGAGGTCGTTGTTCATGCTCTGTGGTTACAAAATTTTGTCTAAGGGTTTGGTATTATTGATAGTGTAGAAAAGCCGCAAATATGTACTGTGATAATTCTGTCTTCTTCTCTAAGAATAGTAAACACTCAAAGAGGGCAAAGTACACAGATTTAAAATACTTATTAGTGAAGGAAGAAGTGTGAAAACAATGAGTGTTTATTAAGCATATTGGTACTAATAGGATGATAGGGGATCTGTTAACTAAGGGATTCCCCTTAGAACGTTTTCTGGCCATGTTAAAAGAATTAGCATTATAAATAAGTTCTTATTAGCATGATTGTGTGATCCATATATATGTATACGTATTATTTTGCTTATATTATTATAGACATTTTAAGAATTTAATATAAGTGTTTTTTTCTATTTGCTTACTTGTTATTTGAATTGTGTTATGTACATGTATGATTTAAGTTTGATAACATGTTATTGAAAACACAGCAAAGTCACACTTTGTAGTATAACTGAATTAAGTTTTTTTTTATTTGGGTTGGTTCTGTGATACTTGGATAGAATCATATTGTTGAATAATTGGTGACTGCCATGATCTCATCAATTCAGATCAATGATAGATGATAACTTGAGATTTTTAATGACATATGTACTTACAATTCGTTGAACCTTTGAGTTGTTGGTCAAGTTTGAAATTGTTAAATTATTTTAATAATCTATATAATTTCTTATGTAACTTATATCATAGCATGACTCTAATTATAGATTTAACATGATAATTGTTAAATATAAAATACAGAGCTATTGGAGGTATAATTGTAAACACAATTATAAGAAAACTCTTCTCTCTCTTTCAAGATAAATAAAGGAGCAGTTACAAAAAATAGAGCGTGTTTGGAATAGTTGTAAAAATTAAATTATTTGTAGAATCGATTATGTATAGAATCGATTTTTGTTTGGATATGTTTGCTGAAAAGTGAATATTGAAAAATTTTATTTTGTCCCAAAAGCTTTCCAAAGAGAATGCCCAATTTTCAGCTTTTAATCCAACAACTTTTCTCTTTAGAAAATAACAATTCGCAGCTTTTAATTTTTTCACCGAAATATGATTTTAATCAGCACCAACAACTTTTTTTTAATCTCAAAAAACTATTGAAAAGCTTTACCAAGCATGCTCATAAAGGTGACAATCTCTGTCTTTTTCATGGTCTTACAGTAATAAAAAAAATAACACTTTCTCTCTACTATCATAGAAGCTAAAGGAGGAAAAGTTGAAAAAAATACCAAGAGTTCAAGAATATAAAAGGGATCACATCAAATTATGATAGATTTAATTTAATGTTCTCTAAACTCTTGATTGTGGGAGAACTTATATGTTGTGTGAGAACCATGAAATTCAAGGTTAATAAAAAAAGTAATTTCATAATAATAAAATCAAAGATAGAAAGTACGTAATAGAATAAATCTAACTATATATATATATATATATATATATATATATATCTGTGTGTGTGTGTGGTAGGATCTTCTCACACTAGTGTAAGCATAAGAATTCTTACACTCGATTTGAGTATTTCATTTATCTTACATCTAGGGTGAAATGATCATTCCTCTATATATAATGTTCTCTCTATTTTCTCACGTACTCTTTATAATTTTATGTTCATTTTATAACACGTTATCAGCACGAGACTCTACTACACACTTTTGCGAGAAAGGAACATTCTTGAACAAATGTACTGTATTCTTTCATTTTTATTTATTTTTATAGAAATATATCATTATTTATTTATTTTAATTATTGTATTTATAAATTTGTGTCTA